AAATCAGCTTCGAAAGTTTGATTATAGCAGTAGCTTATACTCTCTTTCTCTCTCTCTCTCTCTCTCTCTCTCTCTCTCTCTCTCTCTCTCTGTATCTCTGTCTACCAGGGAAATTGATTAGGTTTCTGCTATTGTTGGTTTAATTTTGAATAGGAGTCGTAATTAAATTATGCATGTTTTGTTGTTTTTCTGTCATACATAAATGAGGGATTTGCATTTTCCTCTAATGGAATTATAGCTGAGCCCATGAGTAACTCTCATTCTGAGGCAGATTTACATCTGAACACTGATACTCAAAGCAAATAACAACAGGAGGAAGCAGGAGCACGAGTGAGAGATTAGCCCCTTGTTTCCTGAGCAGTCTGAGCGAACCATCTTTAATGTGGTGTCTGCAAATGGTAAACTGGAAGGAGCATAATAAAGGTTATATTGATGAGGAGAAGCAAACAAGTAAAGATACTCAAGAGCAGCGAGGGCAGTTTAATGGTGCATGCATCGCAGCCTTCATTATCAAGCTGAGATCCCGTTGATGCCAAAGTCTGATTGGTCCCTAGTGAGCTGAACTTTGAACCTTAAAGCCGTTTTACATTGAAGTATATTGAAGTTTCCTCTAATGGTATTGTATTCACAGCACAGACCATCAAGCTCCCTCATTAAGACCTGCTTTTGCTTAAAGAAAGACTTCTGCTCATAAATCTCAGTTGTGATTAGAGTAGAACATTCCAGTCTAAAATCAATAATAAAACTGGCCTGCAAATGGGATTTGTTGTATTTGTGAGAGCTGGTAGGAGCTGGTGATCTGGCTGAGTAAACCCCAGGCCGGTCCGGATTCAGATTGCTGTTTCTCTCTAGAGCTAATAAGAGGTTTCTGGACTCATATCGAATAATTGGCCCAATGTCACATTTCTACCCTTTCTCTAAATGTGCTAAATTACTAGCAATTACAGCTAGCAAAAACTCAATAACCCCATTAAAGCTGCTATGAGCATGTGTGTGAGTGCAGGGTGCATGTTAGCGTGTGTGAGTGTGTTGTGAAAGCAGGCTGAGGAACGTCAGTAATTACAGCTGCCGTTTGGGTTACATACCAAGGAATGGTTCAGACATGTTTAAACACTGTATGATTATTTAGGCTGGGGGAATAAACCATTGCCAGCTTTTCCTCCAGGACATGATGGTTAGAGAGATGCATTTACCCTGATTCCAGTCACATGCATCAAGCTCTCATAATACATAGAGATTTGAGTGCCATTGTCGAATCTTCCCTCCTCATGCACTGTAATGTGTGTCCCAACGCAGCTGTTCACCATTTTCCATCCGAAAAGGAAGAGGTTGTATCTCAGCAAAATGGATATGGCTGAAAATAAATGTGGATGCTGATCACTTAAGCAAGAGTATAGCTCAGTGATGTGAATCTGTTTGAAGTGCTTGTGTTTTTCTCAATTGTAGTGCTGCTGTGAACTTTCAGTCACACAGGAAAAGATTGGCTGCTCTGAACATTCCCCATGGCTGACCAGAGATCAGTGTATTTGAACCTCGTTTGTCATGATAGAGCTATATGAAAAGATAAATTGTGATTGATAGAGATGGTTTTTGATAGCCGAGAGTTGCAATTTGTGGTTTCAGGGATCTGAAATCCACTTACCTGAGCAAATTTCACTGCCTGAAGGCTGAACCTCAGCTGCAAGGCTAGAGGAGGCATGCAAACATTACAGCAAGTGTGTGTGTGTGTTTGTTGGAAAGACATGTCAGAGCCCAGATTTATGAGCCTGCGAACTGCTTTTAATTATGGGAAACACTCAGATTCTTTAGCAAGGCCCTCCCACTCTCTCTCTCTCCCTCTCTCTCTCTCTCTCACACTCTCTCTCACACTCACACTCACACTCACACTCACACACACACACACACACACACACACAATCACTCATAGACATATCACAATGGAAACAGTGTGTTGTGGCTTTGACTTAAGTGTTTGTGAACTCCGTTACCTTTCCCTCCCTCTTTTTCTTTCTCACTCAATTTGAGACTGTGTATTCAGTGAAACGCGTTTATTGTTTTTCAATTGACCGTGATCTGATTTCTCTTGACCTCTGACCCCTGTATTGCACTTCATTATGAAATACCAAAGATCTGCATTATAGTCAACTCTTCTATGAAAAGCTGTAGGTATTTCTGGTGAAAAAACAACCTCAGAGCCACACTGCTTCTAGCTAAGTTCAGGATCCAAAGCCCTGTGTGCCACACGTCTCTGTTTCTTAATGTCCCAGTCTTCTTGTTGTGTGATGAGGAACTCTTTGATCAAATATTCTTTTAGGTGAGAGCACACAGAAGATGCTCCAGTCAAGGGAAGAGACAGAGAGGAGGTGTAGTGTCGACGATGGCGTCATCATTATCATTAGGCGGGTTCGACTTTGGCTGCGTTTGCCTTTACCGATCAGTGAGATTTTTGGGGGAGGAGTTGAAAAAAGAGCTATCAAATTGGACATTTTAAACTTCTCGTAGTGATGTTCACATAGTGTTTGTGTACTTTGTTGGAGACAGAGTGGATTAGATGAAATATTTCTCAGATAAACACACTTTTCTATTTCATGTCTAGCAACCAGAAACACTGTTATATGCTTCTTAATACAGAGAAGAATGTTTAGAATGTTGACGTACTTTTATCAGTTTTATTTTGATGAACATAACATTTGTAACAGTATGACATTAAGATTACATAAAAATAGTTTTTATTGTTTTAAAAACATTGATGTGTGAGCATTAGTGGAACTTGAATGATCCGAATAAATATGAAAGGCACACCATCTGTGAGTCTGACCAATCGTGAAATGGCTGTTATCATCAGAGCTCTTGCGATTGATAGATAATCGCAAGAGCGGAATTTTTCCACTCTGGAAAAATTCTGCTGACTGATCCAGCCGACTGCCCTCGAAACGCTCTTGTGGTACTCTGATGGCATCAGCACCACACCAGTCAAAACAAAATTTCTAACCAATTTCCAGCTCAAGACTCGTTCTGTGCAGCGTCAAATATGAAGTCAAACAGACCTCATGTCACTCAGACAGCATTGCAGTGACATTCATTGAGTTTTGGTTCCCTCCTCAATTCATCTCTTGCTCTTATATGTTGAAGCTCATTTGGAGTCATTATTCTTTTGCTCATTAAATTTCTGAGATGTTGTATTTAACCCATCCAAAGTGCACACACACACACAGCAGTGAACACACACACACCGTGAACACACACCCAGAGCAGTGGGCAGCCATTGTTTTGCTGCGGCGCCCGGGGAACAGTTGGGGGTTCGGTGCCCTTGCTCAAGGGCACCTCAGTCGTGGTATTGAAGGTGGGAGAGAGTGCTGTACATTCACTCCCCCCACCTACAATCCCTGCCGGTACGAGACTCGAACCCACAAACTTTGGGTTACGAGTCCGACTCTCTAACCATTAGGCCAAGACTTCCAAGTTGAGATTAATGGCTTCACACACAGTGTGTGCATCAAGAACTTATGTTTCAGATGCTTGCTGTGAAGAAGTCCTCTAAAAGATTTGTGTCAGTTGATTTGAAGTGTATCATTCACTCAGATGTTTCTGTTTCTCCCACAGGTTTGACAAGAGCAACCTGAACAATGCAAACTCTGGTAAGGAGTTTAAGTAGTGCTCTAATTTTGCTTTCATCTCTTCAGTGAATGAACATCAAGTGAACTTTTTCCAGAGTTGCTTTGGTCTAATTCTGAATGGATGAATTTAAAAGGAAACCCAATGAGGGCTGCATTTTAGTCTTTTCTTGTGAGAACAAGTTAAAGTCGTACAGTGTCTCAGGTCTCTGCGAGAAGCAAATTGGGACCGCTACATGTAGTGGAGGAGAAGCTCTTGCTCTGTGAATTGTTTCTGACTTTCATTACGTGTAAGTTGAGTGTTAAACGCTCCTTGGTCTTCGTTCTTGTTCCTTTTTAATGAGCTGCTGCCTGTTAGGAGAGGGCATGTGCCAAGGCTGTGGTGTTTTCCGCTCTCTTGGCATTGGTAGAGGAGGAAGAGAGCGAGGAGGAAAGGACTGTCTCACAGTCTGTGAGGTGCAGCGAGGCAGAGCAGGTTATCATCACTCACATTGATCCACATTAGAATTCAGCTCTAGCTCCAAAGCTTCCTGGCATGAGCAGAGGAGGAATGCGTTTCCGAAAACCTGATTTGGCCCTGTGCATGCTTTCTCTAGACAGGAAAAAAAGACTCTTCAATTCCGTAAAGCGGCCAAGTTTTGAGAGCTGGATTGGAGCAGGCATATCTTTAGACACAGGCGTAGATTTAGCCACGCAGTGCGCTCTACAGTGCGTGTTAGCCTGACATCCCAGCTGGGTGTTTTCATATTTTACCTCTCGAGGTTTGTGAAGCAACACACATGATTGCTGGATTAGGAAGGCAAATCTACAAAGGGCATTGCAAAGCTTTGAACACAGATTTAGCATATTGAGACTGAACCCTCAGAGCCAGCATCAGCTAATGTGATTAACACCCATAATTAAAATCTTATTTTTACTCCCTTTTTTAACTGTCAGCTCCCAAAGCATTAAATAAACAGAACATCTTCTTGTGCAACTCTGAATAACTTAATATTGAACAAATATGCATAAGCGATTTGTGCATGTAGACAGTTTCTGAATAATAATACCTCTAAGTAATAATGGAGTCATCAATTGCCATGAGGAAACTACACTACAGCACTAGTATTTGCACGTTTTCTGGTTTACAGCTTTACAAATCTTTTACAAATAATGCATTTGTGTTTATGCTGATGCCATACAGATTCACACATGTGGTCACAATTCATCTTTTGAAATTTAAATAATGACAAATTTATTTTCATCTTCTCATAAATCTATCTTCCAAACAGTGTTTTTGCCTTACCCTGAATCTCTACAGTAAGCCTATAAAATAAATTTATATATATAGATAGATCTGTCGGGTCGGATTTAACTGCATGCTTCCGTCATTTTTCTGTGCGTTTATGTCATATTTGTAAATAAAGGAAAGAAGGTCAGGTTACTACTCGATAATGCCCATAATAAAACTTCAACAATTGCTTGGCTTTTCAAAAATGTTTAGTCTGCATAAAATCTCATTTACTAGGTTCATAAAAAAAATGTAAATCTCTAAACCAGTTACTACGTTGGTCTATTTGCCTATAACTAGCCTACTAGCAAAGTTGTAATTGTTTCCATGTTAACTTATTCAGATATGAATAGCAATCGATATGTCTAATGCCAAACTTTTGTAAAAAAAAAAAAAATTCAAGTCAAACTGTTTTTGTTTTTTTTTGAGTCAGAACAACTGTGCCATAAAAGCTACTTACTTTCTCTTACTTTTTTATTCCTTAATTTTTGGATGTCTGTCTTTCTTTGATTCTTTATTTATTTGTCTGTTTATTTATTGGAGTCAGGGAGTTTTGATATTGTTAATGACCTTTGCATACACATAATAGTGGAAGCACAATTCACAATCACCAAAACAATGTTCCTCCAGAAGAAACAATTATGCTTCAACCACTAGAGTGTCAAAAGTTACATAGTGTAGCTTTAATTGCACATAAGTACAATTATTAAAATAAGATCAGGAACAATTCAAACGGCTTCATCCAGTTTAGCTACCAAAAACAGCTAAATTATAGTTCAGTCTCAATTAAATATTTGTTCATGCTAATGACATACTGTTCTGATCGCCTGTCATCTTGGTACACTCAGTCTTTGCTTTAATTACACTTAAGTAATCATTTTAAAATAAGTTCAAGATTAATTAAAAAGGCCTCCTCCAGTTCAGCTATGAAAACAGCAAAACATAATGTTTCAGTATCCATTAACTGTTTTTGATGCTGGTGACATACTTTTTCACACATCTAGTCACATTTAATCTTAGTAAACAGTATTTGCTTTGTAATTATTTTAGTCAAAATAAGTTCAAGAACTATAAAAAAAGAAAAAATACCCTTGAATCTTCATTAATAGAGTACTCTTCTTTAACAGTGTCAGCAGACAGTCTAATTGAATGTGTGAAGAAGAAGGACCATCAGAAGGTAAGAGCATAATTTGAATACATTAAGCACATACATACAACAACCTTGCTTTTTCACCTTCTAGGTTTCTCCGATTTTGGTGTTGTCTTTTGGCAGAGGTTTTTTTTAATGGTTTGCAAGCACGTACACCTATTATTTGAGTAGGTAGCTCGGATGTTGTGTTTTGACAGTGATTTAATATGCAAGAGAGCGATCCGTGTGCTTTTAGTTAAATGTTCACTCAGCCTAAAGGATATTCTGTCGTCTCTAATTCAGGACTGACCTCACCATTAAATGTCAAGTATCTTGCAGAGCGGAGGCGGAACCAGATAAATGATCCTGCATATTCTCTCGACCTTTCACTCGTTCTTGGTTTCTATGGTGACCAAACAGGCTTTCTCTAGAATGATAATTTCTCACACCCAGCCCAAAACATGTTCCCACTCGTAATGCCTCGGTACAGAGAGGAGAAGAGGGGACATTTCAGATATTAATGAGGGTGTTTGGCATGTTGCAGTGGGCAGCTATGTACAGTACACAGCATCCTTTACCTGCCCCAATACATCTTCTTTTAAGAGTTAGTTCACCCAAAAATTACAATTCTGTCAATAATTGCTCACCCTCATGTCGTTCCAAACCCATAAGACCTTCGTTCATCTTCGGAACACAAGTCAAGATATTTTTTATTAAATCCGAGACCTCTTTGGCCCACCATAGACAGCAAGGATCCCTACCGTGATCAAGGCACAGAAACGTAGTAAGGACATCGTTAAAATGGTCCATGTGACATCAGTGGTTCAACCATAATTTTACGAAGCTACTTTTGTGTGCAAAGAAAACAAAAATAACGACTTTATTCAACGATTTCTTCTCTTCCGGGAGAGTCCTCCATCATTATCGATGCATGCGCATGGTACTGCTGACGTTAATGGCAGAGGACTGTTCCGGAAGAGAAGAAATCGATGAATAAAGTCATTATTTTTGTTTTCTTTGAGCACAGAAAGTATTCTCGTAGCTTCGTAAAATTGCGGTTGAACCACTGATGTCACATGGACAATTTTAACAACGTCCTTACTACGTTTCTGTGCCTTGACTGTGGTAGGACCCTTGCTGTCTATACAGGGTCAGAAAGCTTTCGGATTTCATCAAACATATCTTAATTTGTGTTCCAAAGATGAACGAAGGTCTTAGGGGTTTGGATCGGCATGATGGTAATTAATGACAGAATTTTCATTTTTGGGTGAACTAAATCTTTAAATAAACATCTCACAGCTGGACCATAGAACCATAAACAGTCAACTATGTCGCATGAAATATGCAGAACTACATTCAGACTCTAACACAGATGCTCAGGTGTGTCTGTAGTTACCCGATTGTGGAGTGCAGAGAGTGCACTGTGTGGTGTGTAGATGGTGTCTTCTCTTTCCTCTCAGGGCATTTATCATCAGGAATCTCCTCCAGTATTATATTTTATGCCCAAACTCTCTCTGGTGTATAAAAGAGTCCTGGCAAGTTTCTGACAGATTTTGGGCTTTATCGCATGGAAGGGTCCTTTGGACCCATTGAGACGGTCACTGGCATGCTTGCGATCAGCCTCCAGCCAACCTTGTGCATTTCTCGAAGCTACTTTTGTGTGCAAAGAAAACAAAAATAACGACTTTATTCAACGATTTCTTCTCTTCCGGGAGAGTCCTCCATCATTATCGATGCATGCGCATGGTACTGCTGACGTTAATGGCAGAGGACTGTTCCGGAAGAGAAGAAATCGATGAATAAAGTCATTATTTTTGTTTTCTTTGAGCACAGAAAGTATTCTCGTAGCTTCGTAAAATTGCGGTTGAACCACTGATGTCACATGGACAATTTTAACAACGTCCTTACTACGTTTCTGTGCCTTGACTGTGGTAGGACCCTTGCTGTCTATACAGGGTCAGAAAGCTTTCGGATTTCATCAAACATATCTTAATTTGTGTTCCAAAGATGAACGAAGGTCTTAGGGGTTTGGATCGGCATGATGGTAATTAATGACAGAATTTTCATTTTTGGGTGAACTAAATCTTTAAATAAACATCTCACAGCTGGACCATAGAACCATAAACAGTCAACTATGTCGCATGAAATATGCAGAACTACATTCAGACTCTAACACAGATGCTCAGGTGTGTCTGTAGTTACCCGATTGTGGAGTGCAGAGAGTGCACTGTGTGGTGTGTAGATGGTGTCTTCTCTTTCCTCTCAGGGCATTTATCATCAGGAATCTCCTCCAGTATTATATTTTATGCCCAAACTCTCTCTGGTGTATAAAAGAGTCCTGGCAAGTTTCTGACAGATTTTGGGCTTTATCGCATGGAAGGGTCCTTTGGACCCATTGAGACGGTCACTGGCATGCTTGCGATCAGCCTCCAGCCAACCTTGTGCATTTCTCCTTAAGCACATCTGAGCCATCACTAGATTCCACTTGAATAACTGTGTGGAAACCAGTACTTTTTTGGCACTTTGCAATAATTAATACGACTCCGAGATCAGGGTACCATGTGGCTTCCCGCAATGATGCTCTCTTTGGTTTTCTGTTGTTTGGGATGTGTTTATCTCAGTATTTGTTTGTATGACTGGCAGCTTTTTCTCTGCAGTTGAAGGAGCTGCATACGAAGGGGGCTGACCTGTTTGTGCAGGACGCTGTGGGCCGCACCCTGCTGCACTATGCTGTGGAAGTGGGAAGCAAGGAGATCGTCAGATACATCATTGATAATGGTAAAATGATCACGTAACACATGTCTGTAACAGCTCTCAAAAACCACTGGCATAGACAAAAAATGGCTTTATCTCTGCAATTTTTATGCCTGTATGTTTACCAATCATTTTAAAAGCTGCAGAAAAAAATTTAAGCTTCCAATCCTTTAGATCAACGGGTCGCTATGATCATAAGAAACACATTCTGGTGTGTCCAAACTTTTGACTGGTGTTGTTTGCTTTCAGTCACTGTTTTGTGTGTTAACTGAAGTGTGTTGGGTGGGGTGGGGCAGGTCATCTCTCTCTCCCACGCAAGCTTTTTACAGCTCTTCATTAAGCAACACACCATCACCTCAGGGCACATGATTTAATGCGGTTCCAAGGTTTGATTTTTTTCCCCCCCTTTTTTCCACAGCACCCACCGATATCCTGGATGTAACAGAGAGAGAAAAGTGAGTGTCTTACTGAATGCACACTGATGCCACTTGTTATTTTTATCTGTTGACAGTAAAAGTTCAAGTTCTATTTTATGATACTGTAGTCAGGAAGGCCATGGTTTTTTAAGAATTATCTTAAGTTTCATTTTTAGCAGACTTTTTAACAGCCTCCAAATTGTCTTGTGTTTTCTGCCTCCTTTCCTCTCTATTTATCCCTCTCTCTTTATCTCTTGCTTCCTCTCTGTCTCTCTTTCTTTCTTATTCAGTGGAGAGACGGTATTGCACAAAGCGGCCTCATTGTGTCAGAGGACAATCTGTCATTACCTAGTTGAGGCGGGAGCATCTCTCATGAAGACAGACTTACAGGTGAGATAGATATGTAGAGAAATACACTTTATGTTCATGTTTGATGCTGGAATAGTTCACCCAAAAATGAAAATTCTGCACTCATTTAATCTATCTCATGTCATTCGAATCCCATAAGACTTTGTTAAAGGTTAATCTTCGAAACACAAATTAAATTTCAGATTTTTAAAATATAAATAAGCACATAAAGCGATCATATATATTAACAAGACTTGGATTAAATGGCTTGATTTCTATGGATTTGCTTTACAAAGCCATTAGTACTTTTTTGGATCTTCTAAGTTTTGGTTACTTGGCCTTTCAGTGAAGTAACAGAAAACTCTCAGGTTTCATAAAAAAGATCTTAGTTTGTATTTCAATGGTTAACCAAAGTCTTATGGGTTTGGAACAACATGAGGGTGAGGAAATGGTGATGAATTCCCTTTAATGTTCATAGCGGTCCACTTACATGCACAGAAAAGTGTCATGACCAGGACTGGTGTTGTACCTGACAAAAACACAATGAGAAATAATGTCATAGCATTTGATAATGTTATCGATACACATCCTGTCAGAGGTTATTCCCTGTTTGTACTTGATATGAGAATTTTAGGAAGGAATAATTTGGGTAAGTTCTGAATACAGATTCATGCCAAGAACATCGTTCTCTGTAGACGTTTGTGGCTTTTGGATCTCTCTCATTTTGGCTGCAGCCTCCAGCTGGTCTCCATCCCTGAACGTCTCTGTACTCAACTGCTCTGTTAGTCAGTGCTGACTAAGACCTCCGCATGAAACAAGGAACCATTCTTCCCCCCAGCAGCCCACCCTCTCCCCCGCTCACCTCCACACATCCAGCCAAGTGACTCAAGATCTCCTGCAGCACTTCGAATTTTTTTACCGCAAAATTACACACAGCTGTAGACACACTAGTCTCTAATTATTGTCTCTCGTCTTTTCAGAAGAAACATCAATTTAAAAATGGCTTATTTGAAGAGATCTGTGAGGGAATGATTTTCCACAAAGCACAGAAATCTCATTTGTGGTTAGAACTCTCAGCAGTACTTTCTATCACTTACGTACTCTTTTTTTTTAATTTTTTTCCCCTGTAGTTTTGTACTTTTGCACCACTGGGCCTCAGTGTAACGGTCTCCTCTAAAGCTCACAGCAGTCTAACGGACCTTTCCCAGCTCCCATCTGATAAATGTGTGAGACGGCACTGATTGAGTCTCCTGGGTGCCGATGGACTCCAGTCTGTCTGTCAGCCTTCAGTTCTATCTGTGTAATTATCAGTAACTCATGTGCTGTTGAGGGAGATGAAATGTGTAAAGTCACAGGTCTGACACGGTCTGAGAGCAGACCAAGATGAAGAGTTTTCTCTTCAGAGGATATCCCATGATTTTCATCTTCCCTCTTCAGGGAGACTGTACTCCTGTGCTCCTGACAGACTCAATCTGAACAAGACCTGATTTAGCGGTGCCATTTTCCTGGACTGTGGTTTGTTGCGATTAACAGCTCCATCAGCACTTTTCTGCTCTGCTTTCCCTCTGTTTCCATCAAATCTAAGGATCCTGCACTCTTGGTTTCATTCAATCCAGAAAACATCAAATCCAGGATAGAGTGACTCATCGTTCATTGCCCTGTGATGAAGCTCACTCCTCCTCTCTGACTCCCTCCCTCTGTTTTTCTTTTACATGCTATCCATCTGTCTTTGTCTTTATATAATAAGCATCTCCATTATCCTTTCCATCATTTTTCCCCCTCTCTCCTTTGTGACTTGTACCAGGATGAATGCTGGTTTTTAAAAGCACTTTAAAAATGTGATTATATTTCTGTTCGGCATGCCCTGCAGGGATCAGTCTCTTAACCACAAAGCTTTTTTTCCTCCTATGTAACTCGTCTCTTTTAGTTCATCATGGCTAATATTCTCCATTGTGACTCTGTAGCTTTTGACAACTTTTCCAGAACTGCCTTTGTTTGCATCTGAAAGGCTGAAAATAAAGGGATGCAGCACCGCGCTGGAAGTTGCACAGTATGAAAAGGTGCTGGTGTCCGGTCGTACTGTACACTCCTGAACAAAGGCAGCTTCATCTGTGCCGCAACAATGAAAGAGCCTGGCGGGCAGTTTGAGTGCTCCTAGCTCTGTTCAACAGGAACAGTTCAGGCCTTTCTCTCAGACTCTCTGCACCAGGCCTGCCTGCAATTAACAACAATTACTATTGAGCAATGCTGGCACCAGCAACATGGAAAAAGAGAGGCGTTTTCTGAGACAACATGTTTACCATTAGAGGCTCAGTGCAATCTTTGATTTCCCTTCTTCATTGTTCATGAAGACTTTGTCTGAAAGAAACGGTCCCTAATTAGGGCCTGGAGCAACCATAGAGGTTCTCTGTGTATTTTGCTTCAGTTCACGAAGCGTGTTCTTGAACTTCAGCTTGTGTTTGTATTTGTAATTGGAGTCTCAATGGAACAGAGAACAGTTTAATGATAAATTGTCAATTATATATATATATATATATATATATATATATATATATATATATATATATAGAGGGGGGAAAAAAAATATTTAGACACACGTACAAAACACACAGACAAAATTATTAGAACACTAGTATTTTTACTAGCTAAAAATTATTTTAAAGGGGTCATATGATGCTGCTAAAAAGAACATTATTTTGTGTATTTGGTGTAATGAAATGTGTTTATGCGGTTTAAAGTAAAAAAAACACATTTTCCACATACTGTACATTATTGTTTCTCCT